GACGAATGTATTCGGGTTAGTATACATCCTACAATAAATGCTTATTTTATATTTACAAGTACATTTCCTCCTTAGTTTGATTGTCACACGGAACTCGTGTGTCTTATCCGCTGGACAAACAAATTCTAAAGTATTCTTCCGATTTTATTTTTAACATGTATGTATAAAACAGGACAATTAATATGATTTCGTTGCGCTAGTTCAAATATAAAACTGTTTTCATCTACTAAAAAATAATACAAAGTTAGTAAGTCAAGTAAAACTGAAAGCTGTATCGTACACAATAGAGTAAGTAATTATTATGTTATCAAAATATTGAAAATGGAATTTTTTCAAAACTTTTAAATCTTAACATTAGTTTATTTCGTTGGACAAATATTAATTAGTTCGTAAAATATGTATGTCACAGCCAGGGCCGTTATCACGCCCCTCCCAGAGTGGCCCTAACCACAGAGAATAAAATCAATGTCATTGTAAAGCTGACTAAGTTTTTTTTTATAAACTCGTATATTAAAATGTTGGTATCCTACTACTTGATTAATTACCCTTTTATTATTTACTTTATTAATATACAGAAATTAAATTTTTAAGTAAGAATACTTAAAAAACGTACAATATATTTATTTGTCTAGTTTGATAATTTTGATANCTTAAAAAACGTACAATGTATTTATTTGTCTAGTTTGATCATTTTGATAAATTGTAATTAGTTTTTCGTACTCAATACATCCTGTCAGGATATATTTTATCATAACTATAGTTTCGCATACTTAGCATATTAAAGCCTTGACAACATAGACACAATCCGAACTAAATGCTGGGGAATCTAATCTAATTTTCTCCCGTTCTTAAAAATATTTCTATATAAATTTTTACATGCAATTTTCATAATTCGGGCGTGATAGAATTAGAGGGGATTAAGTCACCCCTAAACCACATTAAATTGTGCCTATGCTTAACAAAATTTCATTTGTTAAATAAATAATATGTTGTGTTTATTTAAAGACAAAAAAACTTGTTCTTTTAATTAATTAATAAATATTTCCCCCCGATTAATAAGTATAGTTTAATTAGTTAAAAACGTTGTCAACTATAAAAATTAATAGTAATTTTTTTATCATAGGTATTCATATTTTACAGTGTATGGTATAGTATATCCTTCATATACTTAACACGCTATAATAATGTTGTGTAATAGGATTTACCACAGTCAAAACCGATGCCGGATGTCTCTTGGACTCTCTCCCCTGCGACACGATGCTCTTCTCAGAGATCCGCTCATCATTAACGTATCAACTTACCCTTTTGTTCATTAATATGATGTCGTTTCTTTTATTACCATGATACTCATATGGGAACTCTTTCTTCTTGTATGTTACATTCGATAATTCTATTGCCTACTATATCTGACCCAATTATCGGTTTTATTTTAAATCTAATGTATTAAATATTGTACTGTACATGTATATTACGAATTATTCACATAAAGTGTATACTTATTTATTTTTAATACTTAATAAGTAGTGAAATATGCAGAAATAAATATACTTTATTTGAAGATATTGTGTGAAACATAGTGTATCGATCATTTTATATATTTTACCAGGGGTGAACAGGTGGTTATTTACTTACCGTGTAATATTGAATGGGACCCACTTTAACATAAGGCTTATGTTAAAAAAATGCCGCTTACTCGACTCGTGATTTATGTTTACTATATATACTTTGAATAAGAAAGTGCATCATATACGATTCTAAACGATTCTTAACCCTTAAAGATGGTTTTTATAGTAATATTAAATCGATTTTCATAAATAAATCCCTTCGATAAAAAAATGTAAGACTTAAAATATCCATTAAAGTTGAAATGGGTCATATTGACCCCCACGCGACTTGTAACGTTATAATTTTTTTTTGGACTTGTATTTTTTTCAAAATATCGTTTTATCGTAAATGCAATGTTATAATCGATATAATATTGTGGAATTGGGATTATGTGGATCTGCCACCGAATGTGCAATTAACTTTTAAAAATAAATAATCTATTGAGAATTTCCACTACTCGATGTTACGGAACAAATACGAACAAAACATGTAAATAAATACATCCCGTCGCAATGTGGACACATTGATTATCGGTAATCGAAGTGCTACTTTGAACGAATAATTGTATATACTCGTGTCATAATAATTAAATGTATTGTAATATTAATAATAAAAAAATTCAATTAAGAAAAATGATTATATAAATGTACATACATATAAAACTAATAAATATAAGCCGTGCTTGAGCTCAAAGAAATACAAGAAAAATTAATTAAAATACATTTTGTAATAGTAAAAGCTTTTATTTACCGTCTTAAAAATAAGATTTTGCAGTTAAAATAATTTTTTTACAAACCAAAATTTTTTAATGAAATTTTGAAAATTAAGTTTTATTTTTTTTACGTAATATAATTTTTAGTAATGCACATAATTTTGTCATTTATTTATTTTTTAATTTTTATATTTATATAGCATATGCTAACAAATAATATCTTTGAATTAAAAAAAATGAACTTTTTTATACATATTTTATACTTTTTTAGAAATGGGGTCTAATAGACCCCTACGCGACTATGAATGTTAAAAATAGGTACGCGCCTGCTCAAAGGTTAATCGCCTATAAACGAATGAAAAATAAAATATTGAAATTCTATTTTTAAAAAAAATTGTCACGTGNTCGCCTATAAACGAATGAAAAATAAAATATTGAAATTCTATTTTTAAAAAAAATTGTCACGTGATTAAGATTACATAGTCAATCGGTAAAATTCAGGTACTACCAAAATTCAAAAATAAAATAATTTAAAAAACTGATTATTTTAAAAGAAATCGAGTGGCAAGCGTTAAAAAATCATTTTGAATTCCATATTTAATTACTAGCAAATAAAATTAAAAACTTTCTCTCAACATGAATAATTCATTAACACTATTCAAATTTTTACGCAATACTCATTGATTTAAATCATTTTTTCAAAGTATTCTAAACATCAATGTCTATAGTAAAAACTAATGACTTACGATTGCAACTAACAATCGAAATATTAAATAGAAAGTTAAAAACGATCATATACAGAAATACAAACTTTATACTCTTAGCATTATAGGTATTTTACAAAACGATATTATAACTAAAAGCTTTTGTACTCATATTTTACTCTAATGCAAACTAATAATACAAAACATTGGCACGCGTGGGTGTATACTTTGTTGACAATATATACCTAGTCAATAGCAAAATTCTTCTGTGTCGTATATTGAATACCAAATTTTATTTGCGTGTGGCTTTATTATTTACAATTATTATTGATGTTAGTTAGAATGTTTTCCGAAGCATAGTGTTGTATTATTATAAATATTCTCGCCCTAGTAGGTATTAAAGTTTTTGTTGATCAACAATAGCAACATTAACATCGTTTCGATACGGTTGTTATTTCTATAGAACTCACCACATCCTTTTGTTAAACGTTTTGGCTGTGAATTGGTATGATATTATAGTGTACGAGGGTTATCACATTGACTGAATGAATTTTGCAATTTAAATGTAAATATTACACTGACCCTCGATGAGCTCGTATACAGCATTATACTTATGATTCCTATAAGACTGTTTCACTTTTTAAATGGAACACATCCTAATTATGTCGATATAAAAAACATAAAAAAATTTAATATTTCTTACTTAAATTAAACTAGTACCTTTAAGTTTTCAAAATAAATCTAAGCAAAATCATAGGATTTTTAATTATGATGACAATACTTCATATTTTATTTCTATCTTGGTGCTTATTTCGTCCGCCCTTGATCACGGGCGCAATTAAAGGAAAATTTTTGAGGTGTAATATTAATTTTCTACCACCCAACAAACTTTTATGTTACATGTAAAGCTGCCAAATATTACAACCTAATTTTTATAACTCTTAATTATATACATTAGGGTAGATCCATAAAAGTCAATCTTCGAAATTTTAATGAGAACCATTTAAAATTTTTTATATACATTAGAATAGGTATTTTGTAAAGATTTGAGGTTTTTTAAAAAAAATTTTACTGGTCGCTCAATGTTTTTTTAGTATTTTGACTAAAAATACTCCAAAAACAGTCTCTGTTTTTCAATTTTTGGTCAAATATTATGATTAGTACATCTATGGTAGTTTTATTTTTACTATAGAATACAAATTTTTTATTTTCAAAATTTCAAGTCAAAATTTGATAGCGTGGATATCATAAGATCATTATACCATATAGATATATATTGTTTCTAGTAAATCTCAAGTAAGCTTAAAATTAATTTTTTTTTTATGCAGTTTGGCTGATATTTATGTATATTATAAATTGAGCAAAAATTAAGTGTAAGCTAAAATATATGATATTTTTAAAAAAATATTTAAGATGACAGTTGATTATTAAATATTTTTCAATTATTATTTTTTTTTACTTCAGAGTTATTTAAACAACTTTATGAAAAATTTTTAACCATTCATTTATTGGTGAAGTCACCCTAACTATTATTTTAATTTTAATATTTTAAGCTAATTATAAAACCTCGATTGTTTCCAGAAATCTATTAAAATTATAATAAATAGTATATTTTAAAAGCTTGTTTTCTAAGAAATAAATATAGTAGATAAAAATGTTCTTAATTTTTCTTTTACTATTTACAATTTTATACATATGTGAGATTGTTTAACTAATATAAAGTAGCATTATTTGAACTCATGATATTCATTAATAGTTCAACATATTTTGTATTAAAATACAGTCTCATAAGTACGACTGTGCAATGTATTTTTATGCAGATGTTTGCAGGAAATACAAAATATTATGTATTTACAACATATTTTTTTAATTTGTTTTTTGAAAAATTAAATAAGGACAACCAATGAATANATGTATTTACAACATATTTTTTTAATTTGTTTTTTGAAAAATTAAATAAGGACAACCAATGAATATAATTAGGTATATATATGAAATTAAAATATATTTAAATTAAAAATTACATAAAATTTCATTATTTATGACTTTAAAGTTTTAAATTTTTTAGAAAATAAATAGCTTCATTGTCAGCCCCACATATTAGTTGCTGTTTTTGAATATCTAGTGAGTTTATTGGTGAAAAAATTGGTTGAATTACATCGTTAACTGATAAACGTGTTTTTACTTTATCTGTATTCACCCAAAAGTTTGAGTATTCCATATCTACTAAAATAAAGTTATTCATTAGAATATTATTACACATAATTTTGAACTTAATTGTTCATCGTAGTACCTGGATCGTTAAGACACAAATATGACTTTTTAGAGCTCCATTGCAATAATCTTCCACCAAATGAACATGAAAACATATGGTCAGGTTCTAGGGGATGAAATATTAACTCTGTTAATGGAGATGTATCACCACTTGTCATTGTGGTTAATAGACTATTGGTTCTCATATCCCAGACACCAACATCACCTTCTTCTGATCCAGTAAAAATAAAATGTTTTTGGCTAGGATGTTGAGCAATACATGTGACTGGCACTTGATTCTAAAAAACAAAAAAAACATCAAATTTGTGAGTTATTATAGATAACTTTTGTCATTAATAAAAATTTTCCGAGCTAAAAATTTACCTGAGTAAAGTTATTGATATTGGCAGTTATATCACTTTTATCCACTCTCAAATCCCAAAGCTTAATTTGACTAAGTGCATTACAACACAGAACTTGAGTTTCANGAGCTAAAAATTTACCTGAGTAAAGTTATTGATATTGGCAGTTATATCACTTTTATCCACTCTCAAATCCCAAAGCTTAATTTGACTAAGTGCATTACAACACAGAACTTGAGTTTCAGTCAAAAAACAAATGCAAGTTAATGGTGAGCTGCTTACGTCTTCTAAAAAATAGAAAATAAACAGATTAATTTACTAATATAATTAAACTTTTGTCTAGAATATAAAATAACATGTTATTACATTGATTTATATATATTTTTTTTCTTCAAAATATGAATATTTTTTAATAATTTTACTACCACATAAATTATAAGTTGATATGGTTAATTCTTAGGTTAATTAAAATCTCTTAAATGACATTGAATAGGCTTTAACCTATGTGTGCTATCTCCTATATAATGAGATAAGCTCATTTGAATAAATGAAATATTTTACATAAGGTTGATAAGGATATGTATTTTAATGTTACTCTAAAAAAATGGATAGATAGATACTGAACTATAAGACATGTTAATTGACTTGCTGAATAAACAAAAGTTAAATCTTATGAAACTTTTTATGATTTTATTTTTTAACCTAAATAAAATATTTATATATTTTTGATAATTAACAATTAATTTTTTTTATTTACCAAGTGCTTGATGAACCTGTTTGGTATTCAATGATATAATATTAATTTTATAATCTTCTCCGATAGTGGCCATCGAGTAATTACAAATAGCTATATCCTTGCAAGAACATTTTTGTCCCTCTCTGAAATTATATATAAATTCTTTATTTTATATTTGTTAAGATAATTTTAAATCAATTTTCACCCTAAAGAATGTAATTTCTCCCATGATGATACTTCACTTAATTTTATTTTACTTGATTCATTTTCACCAATTACTTGGTATAGTTTTACAGTACCATTGTCTGTGCTCACAGCAACATACTTGTTATCTAGAAACTAAATAAACAAACATAGTAAATTTTAGAAAAATAGAAATAGCATAATTTAAATTCTTACTCTTATTTGAGTAACATCACCATCTTGTTGAATAGAATCTAATAATTTTGGAGGGAAATCGTTTGTTAGCTCTCCCTCTTCAGGATTTAGACCCCACAATTCCACAACATTATCCTACGAGAAAAATGATATAAACATTATAATTTAATGTTCTATATTCGTACAATAACTTAATATACCTGTTCATTATCCCAAGAACCTGTTACAAACATTGTGGATGTCATTAAATCTTCCGGTTTCCATCTTACTTTATTTATTTTTCTACCTACAAATTCAGCAAATGTGTCAAAATGTGGCATTATTTGAAATTTTCACCAGATTAAATAAAATATATAATTTTAAAGGTTTCTCAGATGAGTTCTTTCAACAGATTTCAGTTATCGTGTTTTAAATGAACTTTCTTAGAAATCATGGATTTAGAAATGATATATAGTGATAATAAATTAAACCGTCTATTCTTATCAAATTAATTTATGTATCACAGATTGTATGAAATTTTCATAAAATTACATATACTGTTACTATGATATTTTCTTAAAATTTTAATCTCNTCATAAAATTACATATACTGTTACTATGATATTTTCTTAAAATTTTAATCTCTTTTTCTCACCAACTTATCTAACATTTTTTATTTTAAATCGACTTAGATTTATTTTTAACTATAAATTCTTTGTGTAAGGTTTCGAACTTTTTAAGTTATTGTATCTTATTATATGCATAATTTAAACTATAAGCATAATATAGCCAATTTATTTCTCTTATTATGTCTCAGTTTAAAATAAATGTGTTCAATTTGTAATAAGATAATATATTTTTGTTATTATAACTTAAATTCTTATAATTAAAATTTTAATTATAGCTAAATGGAGTAAAGCCCCATTTTACATTATACAATTGTATGGATCTCACATAGTTTGTTTTCCACTAAAAATGGCAAACAAATCTAAACCATCAAGTCATACTATCGATTCAGATAGTGAAGAATTTGACTGTGATATGCGTAGAATACCACAAGAACATCTACCAACTTTTCGCCGTTTAGCTGAAGTTAATGGCAAAATCAACCGCATGAAAAGACGGCAATTAATGGATACAATGAAAAAAAAAAATCTCAATATTGAAGGTGATATAGATGTATTAAAAAAACGACTGAAAAACCATTACAGAATGCAAGCACTCATAAAAGCAAAAATATGTGAATCTGAATCAACATACTTTCCATATTTTGTAATAATTGATATAGAAGCAACTTGTACCGAAAATAATCCTCCTGATTATAAGTATGATATATAATGAAAAATATTGAAAAGTAAATTCATATCTTTCATTTATTGATAAAAAAATAATTATTATTTTAACATTGAGAAAGCTTACTTTTAATGTGAATAAAATTATTTATAGTAAATATCATGCAATTTTTTTAACTTAAGAATCATATTTTGTGTTAACTGAGATGCCATTAAATCCTTATAATTACAGAATAGATTTCTCTGGATTTTATAAAAAATAAAAAATTAATTTTTGCCCTTGTAAATTTAAATTTCTTAAATTCTTGATTTTTATTATTTATAACTGTGGAAAATTTATAATTGTTCTTGTTGAAACAATTTCAAAATTAACTTATTTAATTTGTATTTTTAATAGCTTTTACTCTAATTACAGATTTGAAATAATAGAATTTCCAGCGGTTTTAGTTGATGCAAAAAAACGTAAAATAATTGATCATTTTCAAGCTTTTGTAAAACCTACTATTAATCCAAAACTTTCTGAGTTTTGCATGCGACTAACTGGAATTACACAAGTAAGAAAAATTAACTGATTTAGAAAAAATTAAACAATGATATGAGAATGCTTAAATAGATGAGTGGAGTGACTAGAGAAGATAGGATAAGAAATGAACATATAAGAGGGAGTATAGGTGTAGTGTCAATCGTGGATAAGATAAGAAAAAATAGACTTAGATAAACCATCTATAACCAAACCGGTCATGTTATGAGGAGAGAAGAATCAGNTTAGATTGTTTAGTCATGGTATGAGGAAAGAAGAATCGAAAGCTGTAAGAACAGTTGTAGAAATGAATGTTGAAGGAAGAAGAGGTAGAGGAAGACCAAAAAAGAGATGGAGAGATGTTATTGAATGCGATATGAGGAAAACTGATGTGAGTGTAGAGAATGTGGAAGATCATGTCAATTGGAAGTTTGGGATAAGGGTGGCCAACCCCAAGTAGTTGGGATTAAGGCAAGGAAGAAAAAGAAGAAAAATTAAACAATGACATTTTTGACTTTTCATGGAGTTGGGTTCTGTTTAATGAATTAATATGACATTTATTAAAAATTATTTATAAACTATTTAAAATAGAGATAAGTATTTGTTATAAATCATCCTGAAAGTAGTTCATAGTAACTAGTAATAATTTAACAAAATAACTTTGTATAAAAATTCTTGATATTAATTTTTAATTATTGCCATTTAAAAAAAATGTACATTCTTACCAAACTGAATGTTTTAAGTTTTGATTGGCTTATTAAATTATTGTCATATAATCTTATTTTATGAAATACAATTTTCAATTTTGTTCAGAAACAAGTTGATTCAGCTGA